TGTCTGTCAAGCTCTTTCCCCTTCCATACATAAGGAAGGCTGTCACCTACTGACACCAGGGCCTGTAGCTCTGCCATCTAAACAAACCCTGTAAACTAGAGATGACACATGGCCTGGGCACAGTGGCCTCATTTTGAGCTATGTCCTGAGTTCAAGTTCTGCCAGCAGCAAGTCATATGACCTCTCCGCAATGCTATTTCCTTGCCTGAAAAATAGGGAAAAGGATTTCTGCTCAAGTTTTAAGATTCAAGCATTTAATGTCTGTGCCCCAAGACCGTGTATGCACCCTCCAGGTAGGGACCGCTACTGCCCAGTTCACTGCTGTACTCCGAGCTCCAGCCACAGAGTAAACATTCAATAACCATTTGGTGGGTAAATAAGTGACAGGATGATGGTGAGCTTGGCCCTGCCCTTTCTGGGAAAATGAAGCAGGAAAACTCTTCACGAACCTCTGCTTCCCTCCTGCAGGACGCTGCTCCTCAAAGTGTGGCCCAAGGACCAGCAGCAGCAGCGCGTGGGAGCTTATAGAAATGCAGATTCTCAGGCCGACCCCAAACCTACTGAATCATAATTTCTGGGGTCAGGGCCCAGACTGTGTTTCAACATGCCCTCCTATGATTCCAAGGCTCCCCAATGATTAAGAAACATTGCTGTTGGACACAGTGGGGAAAGCATGAGATGCGGTATGAGCTGCTATGGCCCCTCCCCAGGGACTCTCCCTCCCACCTGGCACAGGTGTGCTTTCCCCAATCCACCCCTCACTCTTTCCTTGACCTGCCTGGAGCAGGAGAATGTGCTGCGGATGCTGGCAGAGGTCTTGTCTTTTTTGGGAGGGAGCTACTCTCCCCCTTACTGTTTTAGCAAAACCTACAAATGCCATGAGGGATCAAGAGATAAGCTTCGCAGGTAGGTGAGAACTCTGCAGAGTGGCCTCTTCCCAATCCAGTCTAGACAAACCTTGTAAACTAGAGATGTAACTTTTGGTTACAAGTTGTAACTTGTAAACAAGCCTCCCTGCCCCGTGGGACAACTGGGAGGTCTCATGCCAAGGGTCCCAGGTACCACTCCCCACCTCACCCCCGCACCCTTCTTCTGAGGTCTCTGCCCCCTCCTCCTGAGGACCTGAAAGTCACTGCGAGCTGCTGGGAACACGAAGAAAAGATGAACCTCTGAGATAAGCACTCGATAAGAACTGACGAGATAACTCATGTCCTGTTGCACGTTCTCAGTAGGGTCTGATTGGAGGTTCCTAGAAGCTCAGTTCACATACGCAAAGAGAGAGGGGAGCAGGTATTGAAGGAAGAAAGCTGGATCTCCAGCAGGTCAAAGCCAAATGCCACAAGGCCAAGTGTCATTGGGAAGAGGACGGGGACCTAGCCACACTGATAGGAATCGTGGAAGAGGCAGATGACAAACACTCTCAGCTCCCCGGGGGACACCACATTTGGGAAGGGTTGTAGAGAACCGCTACTGTCCTTCCCAAAGGTTTATTGTGTCGTTGTGAGACGGACAGCTAGAGGAGCAGGAGATGTTCAGCCAGGATAAAAGACAATTCTGGGGAAGCTACAAGAAAACTGTCTTCAAATACATTAGGGTGGAAGAGAGGGCAGTCCAGTCGTGTGGGCCCGTGAGGGCAGCCTAGCCCTGTGACACCTCCACCTCATCAGGGCCCTGTCTTCACTCTGGCCACACCAGGTGATGTCCCACTGCCAGTTACCCCCTACCCTGTCCTTCCCCCTGCTTCCAATCCTGGCTCAGTGATGGGAGAGTAAGGGTGTGGGCATGGCGTCAGGAAGCCCCAAATTCCAGTCCTGTCCTTGCACTCATGCCTCTTTCCCCTTGTGTCACCCTGCGCCAAATGACAGACCCCTTCCAGTCTTGGATTTCCCTGTCAGGAAAATGGGGATGTTTGCCTCTTACCTGGCACAGGTGTTCGCCTTCCAGCCCACACCCTGCAAGGTGGCGGTGAGCAGCCCTCCCCGTTCCCTCGTTCAGCAAATGTTATCTGGTGCTAGCTATCACCCTCTTGCACTGATGTGCCACAGGATGGCACAAGCACCCAGGAGAGGCCTGGCACTTAGTGACTGCCCGGTGAGTGCCGCTGGGGACCATAGGACCCGTTTCCTGGCCTTTTCCAATCTCAATGCTGAGCAGAGGACTGTACAGATACAGGCCCCCGACATCCGGAGACGGTCAACCCCTTTTGCTGTAGCACCCTAGGCAGGATAGAAGACCAGTGGCTCAGAGAACACCTGATCCATATCTTCGTGGGCACATAGTTTTCTTCAGTCAGCAGATCTCACGATACATAAGTAAGCGGGTAGTGCTGATTCAGTGTGCCCTGCCCACTGCGTGAGGCATACAGAATCACAGCCAGCCCATGGGGCAACGTAGCCAGCCCAGCACCTCCCAGTGAGTGCACAGACCAGGATCAGTGTGAGGAACAGGCAAGCAAGGCCCACGTGAAGGGCACTTGCGAGGTAACTAAGCTGCCCAGCTCTGGAACTATAATCCTAGCACCTCAATGTGTAGCCGTGTGCCTTTAGGCAAACACCTTAGCCTTTCTGTGCCTCAATTTCCTCGGCCAGATAACAGGAAGACTTACTCTTAAGAGTTGTGGCTCTGCAGTCATACAGCTGGTGTGGATTCCACCTCCTCCACTTATTTACTGTGTGACCTTTCCAAGTGTCCCAGCCTCTCTGTGCCTCAGTTTCTTTATCTGTGAAATGGGAGTCATATCAACAGCACCTGCCTCACAGGGTTGTTGTGAGGATTGAATGGGTTTAGAGAGAGAGAACCCTTAAAAAAAATGCCTGGCCTGATGTTGCTCACTCCAGCGTTTTAGGCTGGGTTCCTCCACACCCAAATGTGAGACAGGACTTACATGCAAATAGTCTGCTCAGAAAATGAGCACAGCGAGCACCTGCAAGGAAGTGAGAAAGTGAGGCAGGGACCGGGAAGAAGCTAAAAAAGCATGCATGAATGATCAGGCTGCCTTCTCAGCCTCCTCCACAGGGCTCGGTCCTGCTGGGGGCCCCTGTGGAGGGCAGAGAATCCCTCAGCAGCGTTTCCCCACTCCCAAGGGCATGGAGGCCAGGATGATTGCAGTAGAAAGCATAGGAGTCCCAACAGTGACTGCCACATCAGGCTTTTCTGAAAAGTTCAGGCATCTCCCCTGCACTCCTGAACACCATTTATAACAACACTGACAAACCAAGTTTCAGGAGGCAGTGGAGGGCTGGGGGCCAGGATTCACTTGATGCCTCCACCCTGATTCAAAAAATGTCTATAAAACAGCTCCCTTCCTCACACCACCCTGGCAGGCATCTGAGACCCCACACTCTGACGTATTTTAAGCAGGGCCCGCTGGGTACAATCTACCTGGCCTTTGTGAGTAACCCCTCCAGCTGAGGACAGGGGCTCAGGAAGCAGGGAGCAGAAACAGTCTCCTCCAGCCACCCTGGAATGCACACTAGGCTTGATTCTGGGTGGCAGGCATTGGGGCCTCCAGGCTGGAGCAGAGAATTTAAGGCACCAAGAGTTGGGGGCTGGGAGAGCTGAGTGAGGAGGGATGGTCCTAGTTGCTTCTGCAGTGGGAAGCGGAGCTGCCCCAGAACTACAGATAGAAGGCCCCGAGCCTACAGATAGAACCACTGAGAAGGGCCAGGAAGGCAGAGGCAGACACATTATTACTGTATATGGCTGCGACCACTTCTGACGACATAAAGGGACAATGGAGAAGCCGTGCCATCGTGCTACCCTTGGGGAGGTGATTTCAGCAGGCTGAACTCATCAGGATGCGTCTGGGGTGCCTGCTGTGTGGCCTCAGCCAAGGGGCGGGAGGTATTAAGGGATTCTCCTCCAGGAACCTTTGCCTGGGTTTCTCTTTTCCTCACCTCCTCCTTGATCAGGACTCAAGACACCCTGGGCCCAGCCGGACACTCACTCCTGCTCCGGAGTCAGCAGAGTGCCTCAGCAGGTGGGGACAGCGCTCAGCTAGGAGGGCTTGCACGTCGGCCCCACCTTCTTTCTCTGTCCACTAAGCACCCTCCTTGCACAGCTTCCCAGGCCCTCTCATAGCCCCTCAGCTGGAGGAACAGTGGTTTGTAAAAGCAGTCACGAGGACAGCTGGCCAAGGGCCCTGGGGTCCCCGGGGGCCATGCCCAGGCAGTTCTAAGGGACACAGTTGGGCAGCTTCCAGGACGTTCTTCCTCAGATACATGCTGCGAGGAAGCAAAGCTTCTTCCTGTTGGCTCTCCCGAAGAGGAGAAGAGGACGAGGACGGGAGAAGGCAGGCTCGGGCGCTGGGGCGAGGAACTGTCTTGGCTTAAAAAAGCAAAACAAAAAACAGATCAGTGATGACCTGATGGCTGTTTCCAGAACTGGGGTTGGAGGAGGAAGCCACCTCGGCTTCACCGTGAACGCTCAAAGTGCTGGCCGGGGAGAGCTACGACGCCGGCTCAAGCCCAGGGCGCGGGGAGGGAGGGGAAGGGTCACGGCCAGGGTCGCGGCCAGCAGGTAACTCAAGACCTCAAGGCGGAAGAGCGTCCGGCTGCAGGGCCCACCAGGTGGCAGGAACTCTGGGCCATTCCCGAAGCACCAGCTCGTGCGCGCGCGAGGACCCCGGGACGAACGCGGGCCGCGGCCCCAGGGGCGGGCCCGTCCCGCGGGCGAGGGTCGGCCGCAGGCGTCCGCCCAGCCCTGCGCTGTCTCCGAGGGCCCTGGACCTGTCTCCGGCGTCTTCCCTCGCGGACGCGGCCCCCGCCGGCCGCACCTCCCCCCGCAAGCTCCCACCGGCCGGGAGAGCGAGTCAGCCGCACGCAAGGCGGACGCAGGCGCCACGCGAGAACCCCCCGGCCGCGGAGGCCCCGGGGCCCCGCCCCCCCCGCCCCCCCCGCCCCCCCCCGCCCCGCGCCTCGCCCGCGCGGTCGCTCCGGCAGCGGCCCCGCCCGCGGCGCCGGGTCGCGGCGGCTGCGACGTCATCGCGCCGCGCCGCGCCGCGCCGCGCCGCGCCGCTCCCGCCCGACGCCGTGGGGGCTGCACGTGAGCTCAGGTTCGGGCCCGTCGGGCTGGGCCATGGCTGCGGCGCTGCGGCGCGGTCGGCGGCTGGAGGGCCTGGTCCCTGGAGCCCCCGACAGCGCCAGCCCCGGTGTGCGGGCGAGACGGGCCCCTGCGGAATTCGGGTCGGGCCCGGAGGAAACGAGGGGGCCCGGGTCTCCTCGGAGTGGGCGGCAGCGCGGCCTGGGGTCCCCGCCGCGCCGGCCGGAGACGAGCCCGGGACCGCCTGTTGTACGGCAGGACGGAGGCCCGGGGCCGCCCCGGACACTTGCGGAGTCGGCTCTAGGACCCCCCGGCTTCCAGCCAAAGCCAAGCGGAGCGTCCGCGGAGTCCTCCCGGGCCCGGGGAGAGCCAGACTCGGAGCCGGCCCCGAGGTCGCCCCGGCATCAGCCGGGTCTGGGATCCCCAGAGCCTTACCCGGGTCAGCAGGCGCCGGGCCCGGAGCCCTCACGGCCACCGCGGGAGCCCAGCGCCCGGGCACCCGGCCCCCCCCGGGGTCAGCACGAGCCGAGCCGGCCACCTCCGGCCACGGAGACGGTGAGAAGCGACCTCGGGGCGAAGAAGCGGACAAGTCCTTCTCCCGTCCCCGCCGCAGCGTCTAAGAAGTTGAAGGAGGTGGAGGAGGTTCTTGCAGTCCCTAAGGGGAAGCCCAAGTCGGGGCGGGTGTGGAAGGACTGCTCCAGGAAAAGGTGAATTTGGGGACAGCTGGGCAGGGATGTGGTTCTCTGTGGTGTTGGGATGCCAGTGTAGCCTGGAGCCGGACCCAGGGATGAAGAGAGCTCGCATTTGCAGGGAAAGGGGGGGGAGGTGCTCGCACAAATAGGTGATTACAATCAGAATATGGTAAGATGGTCCGGGATCTCAGGGAGGGTGAGACGGTGCCCACGAAGGTTATTTCTGCGATGCTTTCCTCCTCAGAGTACCCGTGGACCTCTCCCGGAGCCCTGGGTTTGTGTGTTCATTCAACAAGCATTACCTCTGCTCACTTTGCAGTGAGGGAAGCAGATTCAAGTAAACCAGACATTACTTGATAAAAACTAGCTAGCATCTGTTACGGTTGTTTTGCCCTTGTGGGAAAAAGTAGTATGGAGTGCTGAGCATGTAGAACACTGCCAAGCGTCTTGGCAAGGACCCGCCAGGGCGAGGGGCCTTGCAGACAGAGGGACCAGTGTGCCTCATGGCACTGGGAAGCAGCTGGTGTTATGATCATCCTCATTTTACATATGGGGAACTCGAGGCTGTGCAGAGAAATGGGGGGGGGGGTTATCAGGCCATACAACATCAGGGGTGAAAGAGACCAGTGAGGAGGTGGTGGCAATAGAACTAGAACACGTTCAGAAGCTACAGATCGGTCTTGTGGCCCAAGGGCCAGTGAATTGATGTTTGGGGTCTTTGAGGAAGCACCTTCGGCGGGTGGTGAGCGAGCCCAGAGGCAGTGGATGCAGCCTCCCCTTCTGTGCTCAGACCAAATGCCACCTGCGCGGCGCTCCTCGGGTGTGCCATCTCCCTTCTCTGAAGGTCACTGTTCACTGAGCACCTGCCATGGGCAAGATCACTGTGCTGAAATGCTTCTCCAGTCTTGTCTCAGTCCTCCTGCCATCCTTTGGAACAGGAACCATTCTCGTCTCTATTTAACGTGGGAAGTCGCTGAAACTCCAGCTACTTTGTCCAAGGTCATCCAAGTAGTAGAAGGTGGATCCAGGCCTTGATACCCAGGCCTGTCTGCCTTCGACCGCCTTGTAAAACCGGTGCTCTGGAACTGCCTTGCCCCAATAGCCTAGTTGCCAGGCACATGTGGCAATTTAAATTTAAGCTAATTAAACTGTAGAAACTTAAACGCTGAATTCCTCCATCACTCCAGCCTCATCACAAGTGCTCAGCTGCCAGTGTGAATAGTGGCTGCCTTACCAGACTGTCAGTATAGACTCCTTCCACCATTACAGAAAGTTCTGCTTGGCAGAACTGTGGCTCTGTGTGTCCAAGTCCTCACTGTCTTGTCCCTTTGGGTTTCTCGTGACGGGTAGGGAGGATATGTGTGCTGCAGCCCCGTCGTCCTGTGCTTAAGATGTCAGATCTTCAGCAGGAAGTCCTTGGGGAGAGGGTGAGAGGGCAGTCGAGGGGTTCCTGGGGTCAGAACCAGGCTGAAGATGGATAGGCGTGGGGTCAAGCCCCAGGCTATGTGTACTAGACTCCTATAGACCAAGAAGGGGAGAAGATGACCCAGAAGAGCAGTATTGACCCTTTCCCATGGAGGGAATGGGCTCTGTCCTGTGTGCCCTGCAGCCTTCAGAAGCTAGGGCGAGCCCGCCAGCCTGCTATGACAGTTTGGAGCACCATATAATGGAAGTGGATGAAGAAGAGCTCTTTCATAAGTCAAGAAATTGGTGGAGGAGACAAAAAAGGCCACTATAAGAGGATCTGCTAAGGACAGGACAGCCAGAGGGGCTTCAGATAGCTCAAGAGGAAAGACCTACAGGAAAGGGGAGAGCAAAGTCCATGACCCTCCCCATTCTCCTCACCTGCTCAGTGGTCTTGCTTCATCTTGCTCCATGACATGCCTTCCTTTATTTTTCTTCCTGGAATATTTCCCAGCACGTCCTAGATTGATTATTCCACCCATACGTTCTTGCGGTATGCATTCTTACTGAGGTAGTCCCATTTCTCCTGGGACTGTGATGTCACTATCACACTTAGGAAATCCAAGACGTCCCCTGATACCCTCTCATGCCCACCACACTTTCACATACCACCCACGCTGTTCTGAGGAGGTGGAACAGGCTGCCCTGTTTCCAGAAACATCAGCTCCCAAGCTGACCTGGCTTGGTAGAAGCAGCAGAACCTTACAGAAAGACTGTGTGGTCTGGCCTTTCATCACAGACACAGGGATTTCAGTCTTGACAGCCATTCAGGTACAAGGTGACTTGGGGCAGTTAACCTTTTTGAGCCTTGGTTTGCTGCTCTGTAAAAAGGGACACAACTAGGGCTTAAGAAATGGCAGCTGGCATGATAGGGGCCCACTCCTGCCCCCGTTTCTGCAGACCCAGAGGGGTGCCTGCCTGGCAAGCAGGCAGGAGAGCATGTAGTTCTGCCTGGGTTCTGAGGAGGAAGACCCAGAGCCTGGAGCTGAGAGAAGAAGAGGCATGGGTGCCTCCCATGGATGACCTGAGCACTCATCCCTTGTCTCCCATCCAGGTTCTCCCAGATGGTACAGGGCAAGCCCCTGCGTACATCCTGGCAACAGAAGATGAAGGAACGGCAGGAGAGGAAGCTGGCCAAGGACTTCGCCCGGCATTTAGAGGAGGAGAAGGAGAAACGCCAGCAGGTGAGGGGCTGGCCAACCAGGCTGAGGCTGGAGCTCAGGGAGCTGAGCCGGTGACTGCTGTAATAGGCCTTGGAGGGGGGCACCTAACTGCCACAGGGAGGCAGGGAGCCTGGCCAGAAGCAGAAGTCCAATATGGCCTGCAGGGTGGGAAAGCCCAGTGGAAGGTCCAGTTTGGCCCAGGGCTCTGTAAGAGACTCAAGTATGGGGAGGAGCCCAGGACAAAGTCCCCCTGCTCCCCACCCCGATGGTGGCTCTCACTGCTGATAGCAGCATTTGGTGAGATGGGCTTCAGGGTCCGCACTTCCATAGGAGAAAGGCTTATCCCTCGTACTGTGGCCATCATTCTCCAAGAAACAGCTACCACTTATCAGCAAGGTGGGTGCCTGTACTTCCCTCCAGCTTGCTCCCTGACACTCATCCCCAGGCCAGAAATGCCCCTTTAGAGGTTCCCATCGACCCCTTCCAGTCTCCAGGAAGCCCCAGCAGGCAGCACACCAGGCCTGGGGTTGTCAGGGATGTTACTTGCCTAGTGATCCCAGGGCACGGGAGAAGGCAAACACCTCACCCAGAACCTGGCCACCGAGGGCAGGGGCTAGGCCAGTACATTCAGCCCTCTATCCCCTGCTTTGAGTCACCCCACCGGTCCAGCCTGTGGCTGAGGCGCTGCAGACTGTGGCTGCTGCTGTGTGCCGACTCCTTATCATACTTCCTGTGTGGCCCTGACTCCCTCTTGGGCAAGACCCGACTTCTTGTCACCGCCCCCCAGGAGCGCCCCCAGCCCAACCCTTCCCCTGACGGGAGCCCATATCTTACTTCTCCTTTCTCCTCCTCTGGGGCCCAGGCCACCTCTGCTCTCCTGACCATGCAGTGGCCTCAGGCCCCACCAGGGACAACAGGCAACATAGCCAGGAGGCACCGCACTTCCCATTCCCGAGAAGGACTCCACCTAGATCCATCTTTGCAGTGTCCCCACTGGGCCGGGTACCTGACGCACAGAGAAGTTCAGCAGCTTGGCCAAGGTCACCCATTTGGGAGTAGCAGAGGCAGGATTTGAGTCAGGGCCAGACAGCTCGGGAGCCTCTTCCCTGTGGCCTCCACCCCTCCCAGCCCCACACCTGGACAAACCTTAGGCGACCCTGTGAGGGTGGGAAGGAGGGAAGAGACCACTGTGTATGCCCAAGCTTCCAGGTGGGGGGAGCCACCTGTGTCTCACTGCCCCCTACCCACCATCCTCCTCTCTAGGCTACGTGACCAGGTGCCCAACTTCTTGGCTGCAGTCAGGAACTTCCCACCACGGTGGGCCTCTGGTTCCACGGGCACAGGCATATCTCCTTGCTGGCCCTACCCCCACATACCACCAGGAACAATTGAACTAAGGTGAAGGTCTTTCCTCTCCTTGGGAACTCAGCCAGCTCTGACTCTTCTGAGACCTAAGCAACCAGGGCTGTCCCAGCTCCCAGACTCAAATTCTCATCCCCCTGTGTGTTCCAGGAGAAGAAACAGCGCCGGGCTGAGAACCTGAAACGCCGCCTGGAGAATGAGCGGAGGGCAGAGGTTGTCCAAGTGGTGAGTGTTGTCTTGCTCACGGGGATCTGAACCGCAGCCAGGCTGGGCACTGTGTTCGAGATGCCTCGACACCCCTGCCTCGAGACCTCTCCTTGTTCTGTAATCCAGACCCCTGTGGGGCAGCCTCCCTTCCCCCGGGGGCACAGGGCAGAGACTACAACCTACTAATGCCCTCTTCTCACACCACCCCCAGATCCGAAACCCCGCCAAGCTCAAGCGGGCAAAGAAGAAACAGCTTCGCTCCATTCAGAAGAGGGATACGCTGGCACTGCTGCAGAAACAGCCATCCCAGCAGCCAGCAGCCAAGATTTGAGCTCAGGACAACCCAGAAGTCTCCTGTGACCAGCCACTATGTCAGACTTGGCACTTGTCGGGCCACTGGTCACACGCCTCTGTGGGATGTGGTACTCCAACACTAGTGCCACCCTACTCCACCCCAGAGAGGCTATAAGCCTTTGAGGGCTCTCAAGCCCTAGGAAGCCAGGAGCCTGGCAGAACTAGAGGAGGGAACAGGTTCAGCCCACCCCTGCCTCCTTCCTCCTTCATCAAGTGCCATACAACCACAAAGAGTCAGTTCTCTGGTTCCTTGGGAGCTGACAACTGGAGGGTGACTCTTCAAAATGTGTATTTCTGTCTCAAGGTCATGGGTTCGCCCCTGACCAGGAGACTGCAGTCAGGAACCAGTTCCCCTTGCACCATCCCAAAGGCTGCCTTGGGTATCTCTGCAGCCCACTGACCCTGTCACCCAGCTGTTGGAACCCGGTTTCCCCGAGTTTTCAACACGGAAAGGTGAAGGAGGTTGCAGGGAATGAGGTTCCCCGCCCCGCCCCCCCCCCCCCCCCCCAGCGCCCTCTCACCTCTTTTGGACTCTACAGAAGCCCCACAGATCTGATTCACTCAAACCATTCAGTCTGTAATAAAAATATTTATTGAACACCCATTGTGTACAGGCACAATTCTAGGTATGGGGAATACAGACGGAGGCCCCTGCCCGCAAAGGGGCATTTTTCATTCTGATGGAAAAAACATAATAAACAAGGAAATAGTATTGTGTATCAGACTGTGAGAAGTGCTACAAATGAAGCAGGGAGTGTGGCAAGGTGATAAGATGGGTGTTTGTTCAGTCTGCTGAGCCCCTGCTGTGTAAACAGTAAGCTGGCCGGCCCGCCTTCAGGCCCCCAGCCAGGAGTGGCTCAAGCAGCACTGGACCCAGATCCCAAGAAAGTCTCTCCCTCCACTCTTGACTAGCATTTCACCCACCAGACAGTTACTGGCCACAGCTCTGCACCAGGCCCTGGGACAGACCCAAGTGCAGTGCTCTTTGTCCTCTAGTGCATGGTGGGTAGAGGAAACATGGCACAGTGCATGTGTTAACAAGGGAGGTCCAAGGTAGCCGTCACATCCACGCACTGGAAAGGACAGCCACCCAGCCTCTACGTGGTTGGGACGCAGGTGTTGGAAACATGAGGATTACCAGCATCGCCCGCAGGGCATCCCATGGAATACCAGGCCTGTACATGTCATGTGCTATGGTCTCAGAGGCTGCTGTGCACATTCAAATACTAAGAACAAGAAGACCTTCAGCAGAGATGCCCACTGCACTTGGATTAGCCCAGGCTGACCACGGTACCTTCGATACCTTATAAACCCCTTGGGCGGGGCTGGGTCAGAAGGGTAGAGATATGGGGCCCCTTACAGCCAGACCTTCGGTACCTTGGGTATGTCAGGGGGTGCCTTTGCACTTACTAAGGGATAATGGAACCTCGGCATGCATAACAGTGAGTATGCAGACCCTGTACTTTGGGCTAGTGGCCCGGCCTGTGTGTGCCTCAGTTGGATCATGAGTAGAAATTGGGGCTAACAGAACCCATCCCTGGGATCGAGCATCTCAACAAACGTTGGGTAGGTGACTACATGACAAGTTAGACCAGACCAGTGCTTCCCAAACCTTTTGTCCCAGTTTACTTCTCCAAAACGCAATCACTGGTTTCCTGTAAAGATCCTTACCTCCTTCCCCCTCCAACCATCAGGTGAAGCTGAGTTCCAGGAACGTGTGGCCACCCCTCTCAAGTTGGAGCAATTCTTATGGTTTCCAACCCGCGTTGGTCTCGGGTCCGCTGGCCAGCAGCGCTGACTTCGCCTCCGGGGAGCTCGGTGAAGTACAGAATCCGGGCGCCCTGCCCCCTGACGGTTCTAGATGGGACGGAGTCACCCGAGGCGCTTTGGGACGCGGAGCCCAGCTCCCCTGCCTGACACCCCCCCCCCACTTGTGCCCAGTCGCTGCGCTCTACCCCGATGTGGTGCTCAGCACCCGATTCAGGGGGCCCCTCTCGTCCTGGGACCTGGACCGGGCCCTCTGCGATGACCGCCCGCGGACGCCCTGCAGCCAGGCAAGCAGGCGTGCAGGTGCGGACAGAGGCGGTGGCGGGCGGGCGGCGGGGGCCTGGCGGGGCCCAGAGGAGCGGCGGCGGCGCCCGCTGCCCGGGCCACCCAGCTCGCTGTCGTCCAGCAGCACACTCTCCAGCACGCTCCGCAGCGAGCGCCGCAGTTTGCGCAGCACGTCGGGGCAGGTGAGCACGTAGAGCAGCGGGTTGATCACGCTGTTGAGGAAGGCCAGGCTGGTGACAAAGGGCAGGCCGCGCCACACGAGCGGCCGCAGCGAGGGGTCGGCGTGCGCGCGCGCCTCCAGCAAGCTGAACACGTGGTAAGGCCCCCAGCAGAGCGCGAAGGCCGCCACCACCGCCGCCACCAGGCGCACAAAGCGGCTGGGCCGCCGGCGGCCACGGTGACACAGCTGCGCACTCACAAGAAAGTGGCTGGAGGCGATGATGGCCAGTGGCACGACGAAGGCCAACAGGAACTTGCTGACGGCCAGGGCTGCCTGGCGCATGTTGCACGTGGCGTCGCGGTCGGGCCCCGGGTTCAGAAGCAGCACGTTGTAGTAGCACATGATGCGGCCGTCGAGCCGCGGGATGGTGTCCCGGAACACGAAATAGGGCACAGTGTTGAACACCGCCAGTGCCCAGAGCCCCAGGCAGACCCTGTGGGCCATGGCCACCGTCCGGTGGTTCTGTGCCCACACTGGCCGCACCACCTGCAGGCAGCGGTCCAGGCTGATGGCACTGAGCAGGAAGCCACTGGCGAACATGTTGAGGAAGAAGATGGAGGAGTGCAGCTTGCAGAACGTGGTGCCCAGCTCCCACGAGTGGCCCACCGCCAGGAAGTAAGTGAAGAAGGGCAGGGTGGCAGTGGCCAGCAGGTCTGACAGTGCCAGGTGCAGCACCCAGGTGGTGACCACCGTCTGGCGCATGCGGCAGCCCACGACAAAAAGGATGAGTCCGTTCTCCATCAGGCCCAGCAGCGAGGCTAGCCCGTGCAGCAGCACCGAAGCGTGGTCCATGTAGCGCATGCTGGAGTTGCTGTGGCTTTGGATGCGGCTCATCTGCTCCAGGATGGGGCAGAGGGGCTTCAGGGTGGCGTTGGCTGACATGGTAGGCTCTGTGGCGGAGAGAAGGGGGCATTGAGGTAGGTGGTGCCAGAGCAGCTGGGGACCCCCTCCCCCAGGACATTGGAATCCCACCTATGAATTGTATAGATGAAGCCTGGAGGGTGGGGAGAGGGGGAGGGATCAGGGAAATTGAGCAAAGACACTAAGGTGGGGGGAATTACATCCCAGCTGCACACACACACACACACACACACACACACACACACACACACACCCCGCTCACTGTGCAAACTCGGACAAGCCATTTAACCTTCCCGAGCCTGTTTCTTCATCTGTGACATGGATGTCAGTTCATAACCGGCCCTAGCTCCTAGGGCTGCTGGCCGTGTCCAGCCAGTTTACAGACATGAGCGTTGAGAGCGGAACCGGCGTGCAGAAAGCACCGCATCAGTGTTGAGATTATTTTAGTATATGTACGCCTAAGCGAGCACAGTGTTGAGATTACTATTCCGCAGGCCCTCTAGGATCACATGGAAACAGATACAAAGCCAGGCCATGCAGGATTCCTTTTCCCCATCCCTGCAGCATTGGAGCCAGAAGGAGGCCCCACCTGAGATGACAGGTGGCCTGGGGAAGGGGAGTGGGAGAAGTCTGTGCCTTTAAGGGATGTGCCCTCCCTGCCTGTCCCACGCTCAGATCTTGGCTCTGCAGCTTCTCCAGTTGGCCCTTTGCTCCCACAGCAGGGGTAGGTTGGGTGTGTTAGCCTTGAACTGTGGAGCCAGCCCCTACTCTGATAGTTGGAGAGGAAATAAGATAAGAGAGAGGAGAGAGCTGGGCATGAGGAACTACCAGACTAGGGCCCTGGAGGCCCAATAGGGTTAGAGAACTGTCCCCTACCCGGGGACAGCCGAGCCCATGTGCCGGCTCCCCACTCCTTGGGGATGCTCATTTATTTGCTCAGTGACTCACTCATTCAGCAGATATTAATTGAGCAACTTCTCAGGTAAATGCTGGGGAAGCCAGCGTCTGACAGATGTGCAGACACCTCAGATGTGCACACCCACAGCCTCATCAAAAACCCAAGACCACCGGATGCAAAGCTGGTTGAGACTGGGGAGAGCAGAGGGGTAGGCCCTTTATGTAGGTGCTCTCTGGCTCAGGACTCGAGAAGAAAGGCTCAGAACTCCACTCCATCTCATTTTACAGGGGAGTAAACTGAGACCCAAGCCCCCAAATAACACCGGCAAGTAGAGGAGCAACTGTTTAGGGCTCAGCCTGTCCTCTTTCCTGCATTCCTGCTATAAGGAAGTTTCGATGGAGAAAGAAGCAAGGGAAGTGGGGGATGGTCTTTAGTACTCACATTTCCAGGGGAAACACTGTTGGCTAAGATGAGAAAATCCACACTTTTCTCCAGGTGCTGCGGTCCTTTGTGAGGTGAGGCCCCTGGGAATCACACTAGACTCTTCCAGGCAGATGAGCCCTTGGAGCTGGAGACCGCAGGTAGGTAGGTGCGTGGGGAGCAGTTGGGCCTGTGCTCCCTGAGAATGCTCATGCTTCCCACGCTTTAGAGTTTGCAGAGCAACTGCACTCACAGTGATCATGTGAACCCCCGTGTTTCAGAAGAGTTAACTGAGACTCAGAGAAACATAGCAACTTGCCCAACGTGGCTCAGCAGCAGCAAGCAGCTGGGACTCCACCCAGCAGACAAATGAGCACTATCCCCTCTCTGCACCAAGACATTCCCTTCAGCAGCCCCTTGGCCAGGTCTCGTGGGGACACTCTGAGAGAGAACACAGTCCTGCTACACCCCCAGGACCCATCCAGTTTGATCTTTCTGGCTGCATGGAGACAGCCCACTGAGATTCCCAGGGAACCCAGCAGCTAGGATCCTGCTCTGGTGTGGGTTAGGGGTAGAGAACGCAAGCTTTTCGAGTCAGTTACCCTAAAACTGCTCCTGTAATGCTCCCACCCACACTGCCTGTGTGGTTTCCATGCCCTTCCCTTCTTCCAGCAGCTTGTCCCCCCCTGGTCTTTGGTAAACCCAACTCTCTGCTAGCTGTAAGGAGCTGCTCCCCTGGCAAAACTGTGCCTTCCTTTATGGGTTCAGAGAGGGCACTAAGGCTGCCCAGCCCCTCTGCCATCACTTCCTTACCTGGGCACAGAAGGAGCACAGGTTTTCAGCCCTGGAGACAGTCCGCTCCCCTTGGCAGCCGGATGAGGAGGTGCTGTGGCACCAGGCAGGCAGAGGCAGGGGAGTGAGGCTGAGGGAGGAAATGGCTATCCGCCCCAGAGTGTGTGTGTGTGTGTGTGTGTGTGTGTGTGTGTGTGTGTGGTGTTTAGGGGTGGGGTGGGGAGGCGGGGACAGCAGAGGGTGAGTTGTCACACTGGTATTCTAGTAACATTAGTCTCCATCAATGAGAAAGGGACAGAACTGCTGGCAGCCCCTGTGCACCCCTGTCCCCTTCCACAAGAGGTCTTGCAGAAGCCCTAGGGTGGTGTGGGTGCATGTGGGGGAATGGAAGTGTGCATAAGGGGCTGTGGTTGAGGCGGCCACGGTGTAGGAAAGGTGGATGAGGGAGAGGACATCTCGTGCATGCGTCCACTGGCC